CTAGGTTATCTCTTAAATTCTAATATAGAATCGCATTATATAGTCGAAAAAGAGGTCTTAGTAAGTCTTAGTATAAATTTCTAAATTAAGTAACATTTTAGAATTAATTTTCGTAAGCTTTTATATAAGTTAGTAATCTATTTACACGCTAGTAACTAATTTTGTTTATAAGCCTATCAAAATAAATAATAATATATGAAATCTTAATACACATCTTAATATTTATTTATATTTTGAGTATTAAATAAGAGCTATCTAAGAGAATTTAGTCACTATTATTAATCTTAAATAACTGCGAATACTCAAATCCATTATAAAGAGTGCTATTAGCCTCTTTAACGCTCTCTGAATAACGTTGATGCCATATCTTATTATGCCACAGCAAATCCATACGAATGCCGTAGCCAATACCCATCTCCTTCCAGTCTTCTCTTGCTAAAGAGGCCATATCCGAGAGCCCTACGCCATCCTCGGCCAACTTCTTGAATGCTCGTTCGAATTTAGCTCGTTAAGCCGGTCTATCCTTGATTCGCGAGCAAATGAACGCGGTAAGGCGAGCATCTTCATCTCTAGCCTGTGGAATCGGGCTGCTCGGCGTCACAAGAGGCTGTAGAGGCGTCATAGCCCTTGACGGCGTCGCTAAACCTCTATATCGATCCTTACCGTCAGCAGACTCGCGGAGCATAGTATCCTGCTGTTGAGCGCTGCCAGAAAGATTGAGGTTAAGTGTTAACCCTCTAGCTGACGCTAAACTTGCTGTCGACGCTGCCTGTAGAGTTGACGGAGGCTGTAGCTTTTTAGTGAGCTCTTTCTCCTTCTCTCTAGTTATTCATTGAGCTAGAGATATAGGAGGATGCGCTATACCAACACCAGGGTCATCCTTAATAGCTTGATTCCATACTCGAAGATGCTCTCTGTTAAGTTGAATATGACTATATAACAGCAGATTATAGTAAGGATTGCCAAAATTAGGACAGCTTTGTCGCTTATATGTATAACGCTTAGTAAGAGTTGCTATATAATTAATTATAATAGTCTGTACAGCCTCTTTAACTACTCGCTAGCATATATTAGCAGTTGCGTGTAGCTTTTTCGTATTTAAAGCTATTTTGGCCTTACTATGAGCTCTTTTATAAGCTGTTAGCGTTAGTAGGCACCAGGGTCATCCTTAATAGCTTGATTCCATACTCGAAGATGCTCTCTGTTAAGTTGAATATGACTATATAACAGCAGATTATAGTAAGGATTGCCAAAATTAGGACAGCTTTGTCGCTTATATGTATAACGCTTAGTAAGAGTTGCTATATAATTAATTATAATAGTCTGTACAGCCTCTTTAACTACTCGCTAGCATATATTAGCAGTTGCGTGTAGCTTTTTCGTATTTAAAGCTATTTTGGCCTTACTATGAGCTCTTTTATAAGCTGTTAGCGTTAGTAGGCCCTTTTCGCTATATACGCTTTTAATATCCTCATCAATAGCTTCAAAATTAGCTACTAGAGCAACACGTAGATAAGGCAGAGATAAGCTCTTTGAGGCAGCTAGCAGCTCCTGTATCTTGCTCTCAACAGTAAATATATCTCCTTTGTCGTTAAGGGTATATAGAAAAGGCTTTTGAGCGCCTTTTTTGACGCTTGCCTCAAATGACTTGTTCTAGTTTCGAGCCATTGCACTAAAGAAGTAGATAATGGCCAAGCATAATGCACATCAAAGGCTAAAAGAGCGCTCTATTGAGTTTCTTATTTAAAAATTTAATAGGTAGTTTAATTCGTTATCCCCTCCATACCCGCTGTGCCTATTAGCGTACTTGGCGTGAAATAAGCTCAGATAAGGTTATTCAGAGATTTTCTTCCAAGTTTTTCGCAACATATATGTTCATAGAGCATATTAGAAATGTATGACATGATTAGAATTATCTCACTATTACATCTGACTCCAAAAAACAGAAAAAAAGGACACAAGTTGAGTGAGTTATCGCAACATCAAATAGTTAAGATCGACAGCGCTAATAGGCACATCCCGCCCCCCTGTCCGGGGACGGAGGGGATATTATATATCTTAAATAGCTCTGTACAAGATAATTATTAGGATGTCACCTATGCCCGGCACCCGGAGAGGCTGTTGGTACAGAACTGAGAGCGAGAGCCCTCGGGTACAGAACCAAGAGAGTCTCTCGGTTTGTAGATATAAGCTGGCCTTAGAGAGAGAGCTCAGAAGGCCAGCGTTCTATCTCGTAACGAACAGAAGGCTGCCACTGTGCACTTGCGCTTCCTTCCCATCGGCGTTGACGCGCATTCGAATCATCGCGCTCGAAGTCTCTGTTCTTATTCCTTGCATGGGCTGATAAATATAGTTCCAGACGTCTAGCGTTAGAGCGTCAGCGGACGACCAAGCGGTCGAATTGGTCTGCTCGACGGCTAGAGTAGACGTTTTTTGTTTTCTTGAGACGGGAGTCTTGTTTGCGGCGATCCGGGACAGATCATGATTTCCTTCTCTGCAGGCTCAGACGGTGGAGAGAGGTAGAGAAATTGATGTGCTCACGAACAGGATAACGTGGCATGGCGCGGTTTGGCCTGACGATACTGCATGCAGGAGCTGCAGCGTCACTGAGCCCGTGGGCATTTGCACTACCTACCGAACTTGGGCTCCGGCAAACGCAGACACATGAGATGATGCTCGGGTTCAGGAGCCAGGATGACCCGGATAGGAAATAGG